CTTGTTGATAGTTCCCTTTCAGTTCTTTTTTTTATCATTAATAGTTCGTTTCAGTTAATCATCCCGTAAGTGTAAATATACTAATGAATAAACACACATACTATAAAATATACCAACATATTCATGTATGCAAACAAGCATGTTTTTTTTGATAAATATGCAAACAAGCATGTTCACAAATATCATCATCACCCAAGCCTTATTCCAACTATATGAAGTCAGTTTTTTTTATCAGGCACCAAAATCAAAATTTATTACTTAAAGAAAGGAATATACAAATCGAAGGTGGCTACCTCCCAGAAAATACAGTAACAATTTTAATATTTTAATCTTACAACTAAGCCCAAAAACACTGTGCCCTATTTAGTATTTACCCCTTGTTTTGCTAATTGGTCAGCTAGACCATTTGCTGACTTTGGAGTCCATTGAATTGTCAGCTGCATGTCCCTTGAGAACCTCCTGAATTTTTTTATTTCGTTGTTGAAAAACCAAGGAGTCTTCTCATTCTGTTTCAGCCTGCTTATCACTATTTTGGAGTTACCTTCAACTACTAGCTTTCTCACCCTCCATCTTCATAGATTTCTGTATCCCATAGAGCACTGCATTCAGTTCTGCTGTTACAGAATCACACAATCCAGTGGGGCCTGAGTACATACCCAATCACGCCACTTTCACTTCTTAAAACCCCTCCAATTCCAGACAGACCCAGATTCCCAAAGCTGCTTCCGTCAAAGTTTTATTTCAGGAAGCCTAACTCCTGGGGGTCCCAAAACCTTAGTGCCCTCTTCTTGGCTGAAGTTGAGGCTGCAATTGTTCTCCTGTTCCTTATTATGACATCAAAGGAGAAAGCTGAAAACTACTCCCGTGTCTTAACCCAGAAAGCCACTTTTGTCATAATCCCTTCAATTAAGGCTTACTTGCTCCTTTTCTTTTCCTCCAAGATAGGCTTATTTCTGTCCTCCCATAAAGTCCAGATCACTGCTGCCCTTGTACACCTCCACATCAGTTACATGAACCCTGTTTCCATATTCCATTATATTTAATGCCATATCAATTGTCAAATTATTAATACTTTGACCCATGTCCTTTTTGGTCTAAGCTAGCCTTTTCTAGCCCCTTCAAGTTGCAACAGATTGCTTCTTTTTATGGGTGCTGCTAATGGTCTTCCATTCGCGTGACCACCATCTGAGTCTACTTTCATTTTATCACCTATGGGAAAGTTGGGAGCTAATCCTAGGTTCCTCCAAATAAGTTCATCTCTGACCTATCCTTCTAGTTTTTCCACTCATCCATCTATGCATATGCATTTATGCCACTCATTTTTTTGGCATGCTGTTACTTCACATCTCAACATAAGTAATTGTTTCTATCAAGGCACATGACTCAACTTACTAACAATGTCACAACATAAACAAATAAAACCAGCCTAAAAAGGACAATGCATGGTTTTCTTGCATGGAACGAACAAGATACTCTGATCAAACAGTCTATTACTATGTATAGAGAAAATGACTACTGCATCTGCAAAGTTTGAAATCTAAATCCATGTTAGTGCAACCTCATCGTGCCAACTGAATTGGGAGCATTTAAGGTATTTTATCATGCCATTTTCTTTTTTCCAAATTCAAAATTGATGAACTGAATCACAATCAAGAATAAATATATAAACTGGAAGCACATCTCACCCTTATTTGTTTTATAGCTTTTAGCTCCTCCACCCCATGTTGTTGAGTTTCAGCCTGTATAAGTTGGCTAGGTCAGAATGAGATCAAAGGAAAGAATAAACACGAATAGAAGAGATAAACCAACTAAATATGACCTTTTCTTTCTGCTCCAAGCTATGCTTTTCACAATAAGCTTTATGCTGCAACTTGCCTGTACCAGTCTTTACATGCATGAAGAGGCCAGCATTTCTAGCACAATATGGATGAAATGTGCTCTGACAGTGACCATAGTTACACTGTAAACAGTGAAATAACAATAAATAGCTCAAAATCCACAGTTTTCTCATCAATAATAGCAAATAAATTTATCCAGAAATGTAAAAGTCACAAAGAGGGATTAACAAATAGTTAGTGAGGATCCTAACCTTGATACATACACCAACTCTGCGATGACAAATAAAGCAAACGTCTCTTTCCTTTGAAATGGCCTCCTAACATTAAGTAATAAAGTAGAATAAGTCCACATATAAATAGTAAAATTCATGCTTTATGTAAATATATTGCTTGGCAAGGTCTCTGAAAAGGAAAGAATAATATGGAAGCAGCACTTAATAGACACTACAGAATAGTACAAACAGCACTTACCATCCCTTCAACAGGATTTTGTTGACCCCTTCTGAAAGTTGACTCCAGCACCCACTGCAACAGCAAAGTTAAGAATTGGAACAATCAACAACATTCTGAAAAGAATAAGAAATAAAAACCTTATTCCATCGAGTGACAATAACAGAATTAAGAAATTAAATTACCTCAGCACAGAAGGCATGAACCCACAGGCCATCAGTTGACTTTCTAAAGGCACCAGAAGTGGCACCACATAAAGCACAATGTACAACAAAAGAAGGCTTCTCCTGAGAATTCACAGCTGGACCTGTAGGGCTTCTAGATGGTAATAGATCTTCACACAATTCACAGTACCATGGACCAATTTGATCTTTAACATTGCGATAACAAATTAAGTGAACTGCAACCTGTCAAAACAAGGTCTTTGTTAAACCCCAAAACTACAGACATCAATGCTTCAAAATAAGCTTGTAAAGACGCAAGAGAACCTTGCAGTTAGAACAAACTAAAATCGGATTCAATATTGTCTCAGGTCGTCTACAAATATCACATGATCTTGATTGTTCTTTTGGAAAATCATATGACAACTGAAAGCTGTCCGACTGCTTTTCAGATGACACCCTTCCAACAGCTAACTTTGACAGTGTCTCCTTTGCTCGTGGTAACAATGGAGAGTAAGGTCCAGCCCTCCCACTGACTGTGTTCAACTTCGACAGACTCTGCAAGCAAAATATGTCATCAGTTCCCTTATTAATGAACACAAGTAATTAAAAACTTGCTGAATTACAAGATTATAACCTCATGATGAGCAGCTTCATCATGTCCATCCTTCCTAAGTGATGAAATCCTTGAAGAGGCTGCTGCTGCAGCCGTTGCAGCAGCAAGCACTGCCTGAGCCTCTTTGTGCCTTTTCTCTTTCCTACCCTGTTTCTTGGCTTCTCTGAGTTCACAAAGATACTGGTTGACAAGCACCGCATCCCATTTTTGCTTCCTTGCATCATCAATCTCCTGGGGAAGTCTTTTTGCAACCCTAAAAATTAAATTATCTGCAAAAAAATCCCATAGACAAATTGAATAATCCAATCACATATAGACATAAAAAAGTGAAGAAAATAACAGAAAGAACATGGCATGGTGCCTCAACTCAACTGTTAGGGTAAGTGGAAGATGCAGAAGAGAACAAAATAGAGAGGGGAAGGCAATACCACAATGACGTTTTCTTGCAATTGCATTGTCTATTAGCCTATTCTGAAAGTAAATAAGTTGTCCTTCTATTTCATCTTCTGGAGAAAGATCCAAAATTCCCATTTTCCGGGCCTTAACCAACTGTTCTGATATATCCATGTCACTGCAAGTTGAAAGTCGATCTTGGTAATTACAGTAAACACTGGCAGTGTAATCTCCATCCATGGAAGGCATACCTTTCTCCCTTGAATCTGCCAAAAAAAATTTTCATAAAAAAGGATAGCATCCAGTAATAATGATGACTGCACGAGTGAATAGGTGCAAATAGAAAGTTCTAAAAGAGCAAAGAGAAGACCAAGGAAAACATGATCTGAAGTGCGAAATTTAAAGATATTTGAAAGAAAGCATGGCTCTTGATAGAGCAGAATGGCAGGATAGGATTCATGTAGCCAACCCCATATAGTTGGGACTAAGGCTGAGTTGAGTTGATACTTTCTCCAGAAAAAATGCACATGGAACCAATAGAGAAGATTTTACCATACCATCACATTCAGGAACTGAGTTTTTCTGCTTGAAAAACATAGTCTGCATTTGTATCAACCTTTTGCTGATAAATGGGTGAGTATAACAACTTGAAGCATCTTCTCCACTTCTGCATTAACATGGAGATTCAGAAGAATTGTTATCTATCACTGAAAATTCAAGAATTATCTCAACCAAAAGAATAGGCATCCGATGAGTAACAAAATAAATCTATGTTGTAAAGTTTACATGTGGCCATTCATAATAGGCACTGCTGCATCAACAACACAACTTGATCGCTCCCCACTAGAAGTGACTGGAACATCCTCAATAGAAGTATCATAGTATCCTAATTCACCATTCTCCAATATGTTGCTTTTAGCAGGTTCAGCAGAATCCACTGTTGAAAAATGAGTTATTAGCGTGAGAAGGGATACTAACCAGGGGCACATTTGATAGAGAACCCAAAATAAAAAATAAACATCAACAAAAAAACACTCAAAAATGTAACTTCAGAATTTGAAACCTTTGTGGGCCAGGACATGAATGTTGATTAGTATAAACTCACAGACATTGGACGAACAAAAGTTGATTAGAAGAAAAAGCAAACTAGCAAAGCTATAATATGTATTCATAGAGACATCTTGTACTCATACACAACAATACCATACTGGCCCCTGGCTGCTACTGGAATACCAAAATATCTATTTCGGCTTACATGACTAATATTTTACTTTGTACAGATGCACCCATCTGGATACAGCTTGTACCATAAAAACTCCCTAGGTAACCAGATATCACATAACTACCAAAATATATGTATTTAAAGATAGATAAGCTTTTTTAAAAAAGTGTATATGCATATCTATCAATGTCACATGCACAACCATGTGTTTTTAAGTGACAGCAAAAATATGTGAAACACATAACAACAAACATGATACCCTAACATGACTAAAGTTCTTGTCGTAAAATAAAGAGGTAGTTGTTATCAAAAAATAAAATAAAGAGATTCTACCATATATGGATCAGCACAATAATAAATTATTAAGTATGAAAATCTTTAACACATAGAAGCAATCTTACTATAAATATTCAAACCTGCAAAAGTGTTAATATTGGTTTACAACTCTAAGTGACATAAGGAGCAATGTTTTAAAAGGCATGGGAGGCATATGCCTGGAGGCACACGTCCAGGCAAGGCACCCCCAAAACACCATGAGGTGTGCAAATTTCTTAAGGAAACAAGCAAATTGTGGCATGTTGTGATTAAAAGAATTCACAGTTCGATGGACAATGGTTTGCATGCTTGGGCCACCCTCTCTTCACCTTGGAAAAATGTCTTTCCAGTTTTCCATCCTTCCTTAACCATATCCATATTGATGCTTCCTCGGGTGATAGAGGCAGATTCTACAAAGACCTTTGGTGGGGGATCAGCCACTTGGGCTGCTTTTGATAAGAACACAAATACAGAACCAATACGTATTTACACTTCTGTACTGAACATGAAAATAAATTTGTATTTTTCTGGCATTATTGCATTCAAAATGGGAGTACAGTTTACTTCCAAAAAATGCCAGCAAACTTTGCACTCATATTTGACTGATGTAAAATAGGAAGGATCAAGTCTTGAAAGTTGTGTCTGTACACATTACAACTAAACACAATACAAAATTTATCAATACAAAACAAACAAGTTTGCATCCATACTTTTGACCAAATTTACATTTATGTCAATTCATGTGCTTTTTGAAATATTGCCAAATGCAGATTGGAGTCTTAAGGACAAATTTCCAAATATCGTATCTGTTTGGTCAAAAAACAACCTTGTTTCTAAGTCTGTCATTTTCTAACCAGGGTTCATCAAAGGACTTGGGGCTAATAAGGGATTAACAAAGGACTTGTTTCGATACATCCACTTCTGACACCATGATTTGGTCCTTTACTCCAGGAACAATTCTCATGTGCTTCTTTCTTTAAATGATTATCAGCATCTCTTTTGCCTACCCTTTTTTTTGATAAATGATTGATAATTTATTCATGATAATCAGAATGACAAGGACCAGTCCTGATTAGGAAATTTGACAAGGACCAGTCCCCTCTCAACATAGGGCTTTTTCTTGGGAGGCCATGCACAAAAAAGATTAATACATGTGAAATCTTCAGAAGAGACCATGCTGGTTTCTAAGGGGCAAGTTGTGAAACAACTGATGTTTTTCTTAGGAACTGGCTAGTAGTGGCTTCTTCTTCATCCTAAAGGAGAACAGCATCCACTCAGTGGCCATATCTAGACCACAACTTCATCAAACTAAGCTTTGATGAATAGAGTCCTGGTAAGTAAGTTGAAACCAAGGTACCTCTTGAAAGAGGGCGTTCAGAAATACCGCTGGTCATCCATTGGATCATAGAAATACTGCTAGGAGGATTAAACAAATGGCAAGAGACTTGGAACATTAAAACTAAAACTTAGCTTGGTGCCAAGGTCAGCCAACAGTATATCCAATGCCTTGGCTAGGCAAGGAGCAAGGAGGAATCCTTTATATTGGAGTCCAATCCCTCCATGGGAAGAGAATGTAATGCAAAAAAAAAAAATTATCAGTTTGTTATATGATCGTAAGTGGGGGGCAAGAACATTCACAACAGGGGTGTGCTTGGCACATTTATACATGTACAGAATTATTTTCACTTATCAATAAAATCACCTAGATGCTGATCAAAAAACTATTATTTTATAATAGAGTGCTAACTCGTTGCATAGAAGGTACTCTAAAGTCTGACCAACATTAAGATATAATTTATGCCAAAATATCCATCTGAAAAAGTCTAACCAAAACTTATTTGAGAGAACTTTTGTTTTACTCTTCCCCTTTCCTCTTTTGTTTTGCTACTTCCAAAGTTGATACAACGCCTCATGCAAGCCTATGTCATAGACCCATAGGCTACAGTTCACTAAGGCACCAAAGTGATCACTCAAGTAATGTGCTTATGAATGTATACCCTCTGTACAGATTCCCATTGTACAGGGGATTTTTTGTACTGTTAGTTTTTTTTTTTCTGGAATGAAATAAAAGTCCATAAGAAATGTTATGCACCACATGTAAATCATATACATGTCTTATTTTTGCTTAAATGCCTTACATATATAATATAGATTAAAATATAGAATATGTAGACTTCCATTCTAGGGGGGCATGACCAACCAACAACTCAAAGAGGATCAATCTCCGATGTCCTCCCATGCTCCAAGAATATGTAAAACAAGCAAATAGAAAGAAAATGGGAAGAGAGGAGGTGGGACCTTGGATCAATTTGCAAGACCCTGCTTTCATCCACATCTGTAGTACAAATTTTTTTCTTCCAATTGTACCAATAAAATGGTGCATGCCTAATGCCCTATCTCTAATGTTTCTTCTAAAGATTGAAAACCAAAATTGGGAGTCATCCCTCCTCTGAAATGAACTGGGACAGTAGGGCTCTAGATCTTTGGTAAGCAGCAACCTATATACTCGAGGCATAAATTGCATGCCATAGGAGCCATTGTTTTAAACTTCCACAGAGAACTATTTCCACCAAAATGTTCCACTTTTGTAGCACTTGAAATAAAACCTTCCTGGAATACAAACAGTACAAGGTTCCAATCAAACTTTGATAAGTTTTATTCTTTTTGTAATTGGAAAATAGAAAGTATACTTATATTATAAAGGAAAATACATGGTAATTACAAGCCCCTTGAATGTACAAAATAGAGAATAGGCCACCCCTACTCATGGCACAATAAATGGGCTCATCATATAGAAAATAAACGTCCCTAGTCAAACTTTTTAAGTGTTGATTATTCCAATTGATTTTTATATATACACATAAAAAATAAAAAAATAAACAGAAGCCAGAAGTACATGTGAAATATAGAAACATTCTTCTAATGCTCCAAATAATTACTTTGAAAGAATATGTAGAGGAACCTTCTGCAAGAGGCAGGGGAGAAAGATGCTATCTAAAAAATCAATGGCAACAACAAACTAAAGAAGAACCATTTTCGTAATTATAATTAAAGGCATCTTTTAAATATTGGGACCACTTCATAATCAAACAGATAATTCAAGGGCACGACAACTACTACAGAAACCAATTCTATCTTTGGAGTGCAAATTATCTTTTAAGGATATTTTGAACATAAATGAATTTCTGCTAAAGGAAATTCTTTGAAAGAATGTAGTTAGAGAAGTGTTTTAAACATTGACTTGAAGACTGACCTGTTTTTCCCTCCGGGTGGAACCCATAATATTTAATTAATAAGATTTGAGGCCAAAAAAGGCATTTTTTGGTAAAATTACTAAGCTCAGGCGTCTTCAGCTCCTTGCAACACATAGGTTGCAAAACGTTACCCAAAAAGAACACCCCACTCCAACCAATAAGCACAAAATTATGGCATCCAAATGTGTTCACAGCTCTTCCCTAATTATATGTTCATAAATATAATTATATATAAATTATTGCAGAAAATAATACTTTCATTAATACATAGTCATGGATGCACCACATACATACATAAGCAGATACAGTGAGAAGATATAGCTATTATTAAAATAATTTAAACCTGAAATATATATATATAATGTAATTTATAATCAGTGACCTGTTGTTCCGGGTCAAGCAGATTTACAGTTCAAGCTTCCAGAGCGATGGGTCTCTTACCAAGTCAACAGCTTTTGACAAACTAGTAGCGGGTTTGGGGTTAACCCAAGATGGAATTGTTGTTGGATGATGGTTCAAACAGTATATCTAAAGTATGCTTACAGCAATATCCAGCACTGTCCAATTTTAGAAAAAAGAATACCTTTGTTATGCAAGTCAACTTTTGCTCATAAAATATTAATCTTGTTTTGATCAGCAGAAATGAAGACTGCCCTCGAATAAGAAGATTTGCATACAAAAAAGTAGGGCTGTCATCGGGTCGGGTTCGGAATGGATTTAAAGGCCTCATATTCGAATTCAGATCATAACGGACACAGGTCGGATTCAGATTTTATCTGGCTCCGATTTAATTTTTTAAAGACCTCATATTCGAATTCAGATTTTTATATAATATACAAAAATACACTTTTTATATTTTAAATATAATTATATACAATTTATACATTAAAATCAATAAACATTATATTATAATTAGATTCAGATTTTAGTCGGATCGGATGGAGTCAAATCCAAATCCAATCCGATTATTAATCGGATGTAGATTACAAAATCCAAATCCGATCCAATTACATAAATGCAACATCCAAATCCGAGACAATCGGATCAGGCCTCAGATTTTCAGGTATCCTTGACAGGCCTACAAAGAAGACCCTGCAGGTACCAACAAACACCAAAAAAGAAAAAGGCAAGCATGCAAAAGACAGCCCCATGTCGATGAAGGTGTTCACCAGTACAAAACAGGTAAACATGTATACTTTTGCCAAGATAAAAACCAATTCGACTACAACAAAATGCCAAACAAGTATCAACATTGCAAGTGTCGAAACTAAGCACCATGTTAACACTTTTAATAACAAAGAAGCACACAGAGCATAAAAGATTGGCAAAAGGCAAATGTTACCTTTAGATTTAGTTGGCTGTCCTACAGAAGAACCCAACACCTGATTACCCAAAGAATCTGTTAAAATCTGCAATTACAAGTGAACTTGTACCAAATGTAGCAAAAATTTACACCTCAAGAATGAACTAAAGAGGACAAATGTATTAACAATCACTTTCAATTGACATAAAATGACAACAGCAACAAGATAATCAAAGCCTGAACATTAATTGTTTTGAAATGAATCCACAAAAGCAACAAAATAACAGAAATTCATCGGCAAGTGGGATGTGAAAGCTCTTGTTGGGGTTACTGGAAACAAGACAATGAGGAACTCGGTTCAGAAAAGATTGGAAGAGCTGGTGGGGACTGGGGAGTAAAGTTGGGGAGGATGTGAAAAGGGTCGTTGGAGATTCTGTACTCACTATAGTGCCAGAAAACTCAACAATGAAGGGTGTGATGGGTTGGGATGACGAGTATCTGTGGTTCTTGAGTCCATAAGAGGAGCAAACGTTATGGAGTTGGTTTTGGCTTCCAGTTCAGCACAAAGAGTGCATGGATGGGTATTATGTTGCATAGAACAAGGTTCTTTGGGATGATGATATATAGCAACTGAAGGATAATAAGGAAATCCCAAGCCTGTTATCAACACAGGAAAAACAAGGAAGATGAAAGAAATAAATTAATAGAGGCTTCTGTATTCCTTATTTCTTATTATGTTTATTAGCTTTAACTCTTAGAATGGCATCTTTAAAATATGTATTTTCATTTTTGTTTCTCTGAAAAATTAAACCAAAAAAAAGCAAAAGTAGGCTCCCATTTAACAAGTGCAATGCAATAAATTAATACAAAATATTAAATGAACCAGAAAATATAAACATACACGCCACTAACTAGTTCACTATGTAGTTTAATTTTTTGACGAAAAGGCAAAGCACTTCATTAATTTCATCAAAAGGTATATGGATCTACTAGTATATATGCATGTATAGTTAGTGAGCCACTATAAATCAACAACTTGTAATTTTCTGCTAGTTATTACCAAAGTCAAAGCATTTCCTTTGACTTCTCTCCCTCCAAATGCACCAGGAGACTACAGCTGGGGTGGTATTCCAAAGGATTCTTCCTTTTTACTCAGCCTTCCAGGATCTCAAGAAGTCTCTCATCTTCTCGGGTATACACCAGCTCAGGTTTATCAGTCTACAGAAATGAGAGTAGATATCTCTTAAGAGCGTGCAAATTGCACATGACACAAGATTCAGATTGGAAGCTAATACCCCGTCTTATAAGATTGTCTCTAGTCAAGCACCTGTCCAGGACCATAGACCACTACACTAAGAAAGCTGCCTCTGAAGAGATCTGAGGTAACCATAACCTTTTTGTGAGGGAAATTGTGGTTCTGATTACCAATTAGCTGGTAATAGCAAGATTTCTCTGGGAAGACTCCAGATTTTTGCCAAGTCCACTGTCTTTAATCCTCCTGGTTTTGGTATTGAGGCTGTTCCACTTAGCAAGCTGAGCAATGCTGTGAGATCCTCTATTTCTCAATCACTTAAGTTTCTTCTTAGAGATGGTTGCAGCAAACATGTTCCCTCTGGAATTTATAGTTGTTAACCACCCTAGAATCTTCGTTCTCTGCCAAAATAAAGAGTAAGGCGAAGCACTCCAACAAAGCTCTCTCCCCACACCAAACATCCCTCCAAAAGCTGATCCTGTCCACGAGCTCAATTTTACACCTGGGAGGAATTTGCTATGAAGTTTATCAATGCTCTCCAAATTGAACAGCCATAAGGACCCATCTCTGCTCTTGAATCCCAATTAAAATTTCTACCACTAGAACTTCTCCCAAATTAACTGTCTTCAAAGCATATTTGGTTGGGTACTAAACCTCCAGAACCGTTTTGCAATCAGGGAACTGTTCATCTCCTTCAATTTCTTAATCCCTAGACCACCAGCAAATTCAGGTAGACAGAATTGGTCCCATTGTACCAGACCTACCTTATCCCTAGCCTGCCACCCTCTCCAAAGGAAATACCTTTGGATTCTTTCCAATTTCTCAGCAACTGCAACAGATAAAGGAAATTGGGAAAGATTGCTCTTTACAATTGTTACATCAACTCACTATGTAGTTTAATTCAACAACATTGTGATAGTTATTAAATCAACATGAATCCCCCCACCATGATTATCAAGTACCATTGTTACAACAAAAGCACACATGTACAACCATTGTACACATGAAAATCCATCCTTCTACTTGAGGACCAAGTAGATCTCTAAAACTTGCAGAGTTTGGCTTGATTTTGATGTAATCATAAAGTTAATTCAATTACCAATCCAACAAGCTCAACATCACATCATTGAAACATGAATCCAGCAAGTTATGGCCACAAATCACCATTTTTGTCTATAATATTGATTTTTTTTATTTTTTTGCAGTAATACTAAAATCTTTCTTTTTTTCTTTTTGATAAGAGATGAAAATCGAGTTATTTATTGAGCAAAATGGGATAGTCTAAGACCAATAATACCACACTAAAACAGAACAGAACACAATACATTGCTACCCGAGATTAAACACTGTTTTAAAAGCGCAAGGCACAAGGGCCATTTTACGCCTGAGGCACAAGGCAAAAGGTGAGGCGTGCGCCTTTTTGAGGCAAGGTGCAAAATCTAAAAAAAAAAACTAAAAATTCAAAAAAGTTGCAAAAAATTCTAAAAGAATGCAAAAAAATCAAAAAAATTATAAAACATAATATTAATAAAAATATAAACTTAAGTTTTAAAATAAATGTTTAAAAACCTATTATCTAAAATTAAAATACATAATATAAAATGTAAAGCATATTCAAATGAGAATTTAAAAATGAAATCAAACATATAAAACATTTTCAAGAATATAAAAACCCACAATCTCTTTTTTTCTCAATTGCATCAAGTAGCTAATGTGACATATTACATTCCTAATTCTACGAGCCGCCTTTGTGCCACGCCCCTCGAGGCAAGCCAAACAAGTCCATGTTAGGGTCTTAAATTCTTAGATTTCACACAAGAAATTATAATTTTATAATATTAGTTGCTTTTAAGAAAATATTTTATTAAGATGAATGAATGGACAACATTACCAAATAGAGGATTCCCAAAGCGGCAAATTTTCAAAAGGCGCATGCCTGGGCTAAGGCACAAGGCGCACCAGGCGCACGCCTAGGCGCACCAAGCGTGTGCATTTTGAATGGGTTGCGCCTAGGACCTGGGCGAAGCGCCTACCCTAAAATGCGCCTTGCCTGAGCACCTAGGCGCGCCTTTTAAATCATTGATTAAACACCAAAGGATATAAAGCATCACCACCAACCTCTATTACCAAGATAAAGGGAGAACAGAGTTGGAGATATTTTCTGGTGATGGTATTAAGGACTTCAAAGGAGAAGTCATGGAATGTGGAATAGCTAAGAAAGATGCACATAGAGATATCTCTGAGACGCAATTCCATGGCATTTCTGTTTCAAAAGTTTTGAGAGACTCGAGGAGAACCAGCAGACTGCAAAAGTCTTTTTGAAAGATATGGTCAAACTCTCCAATGCACTTTGACCAGAAAATGATCCTCCCTTTGCACTTATTTTATTAACTCAACCATGGGTTCAAGTTCCTGATCATTCTGGGTTTTTTTCAATCATGAGTTCCAAACAATTTCAACATTTTGAAGCTCATACAAGTCAGCCACAACTTTGACCACCATAGAACCACAATTTGAACATTAGTTCATTACATGGGAAGAAGTCCTATCCATGAGAGGGAAAATCGATACCTACCCACCCACCCAAAATACGCTTTGGTCATGACTTCATATATAAAGATAATATCCAACCCACAAACAATCACGGAAGGAAATCAGCTACCAAATTATCTATTACCACTCACCAACACAATAGAAAATTCTCCCTTCACCTCAAAATGAAGTAAGCACTATAAAATTGAAAGCTACAATGCTATTTATCACCAAAACAATGAAATCTTCAAAGCCCTCCTAATAATAAAGGGATTCCTAAACCTTTTTATCTTTTTGGCTTAACTAGTAAAAGATCCTCATCTGACTAGGATATTTTCTCTATCAGGCCCTGATAGAACTTTTAAAGTATCTTCTCTTGCACTTGCAAAAGTCCTGAAGGAAATGTACAACAAGAAGCTTGCAGTCTGGCAAACTAAAATGCAAACAATAAGGTCAAGTTCAAAACTTCACTCAGGGAACATTAGAATGAAAGATCACCTGCTTAGATGGGAGAAGGTGTCAAGTTTACAACAAAAAGGGGCTTAGGGATTGGGAACATTAGAATGAAATATTGAGCTTTACTGAATATGTGGCTATGGAGGTTCTCGAGGGAGAGCGATAGGCTTTGGCATAAAGTGATAACAAGTGTGCATGGACTGTCAAACAATGGATGATGATGCTTGTATCCAGAGAGTTACCTTGGCTACTCCTTGGAAAGCCATCCACAGTCCTGCCTTCATCAATCACATCAGGCATGACTTAATTTTGAATCTTAAGATCAGGTTTTGGACCAGTGCCTAAGTTCATTTGCTCCTCTTCCTCTCCTTCTGAGTTAAATTGGAAGTTGGGCTTTGTTAGGAACCTTAAGTGTTAGACAGTGTATGCCCTTAGCTCCAATCAGATTGATGTACATAAGCATTTATTTGTAAATGAATAAAGTACATTGTCGTTTCATGTTAATGTCAATGTTTTAAAAGCACAAGACACAAAAAAGGTGCAGAGGTCAATTTGCGCCTGAGATGCAAGGCGCAAGGCGAGGCGCGCGCCTTTTGAAGCAAGGCGCAAAAATTTTTAAAATTGCTAAAATATCAAAAAAAATGTCAAAAAATTCATAAACAAATGCCAAAATTTTTCAAAAAAAAATCAAATAATATTAAACATAATATTAATAAAAATATAAACTTGAATTTTAAAATAAATGCTTTAAAAAACCTATTATCTAAAATTAAAATATATAAACATAAGATGTAAAGCATATTCAAATGAGAATTTAAAAATAAAACCAAATATATAAAACATTTTCAAGCATGTAAAACCTCTAATCTCTTTTTTCGCTCAATTGCATTACTTCAAGTAGCTAATGTAATGTAAAACATATTACATTCCCGATTCTATGAGACGCCTTTGTGCCACGCCCCTCGAGGCAAGCACAAACAAGTCCATGTTAGGTGCATTACCCTTTAAACAGGACACTTAAGAGACTCGTGTTAACTTAGAATGTTATCAACCATTGGATAGACTTGGGGAGTTTATCCTGACAAGGCTAACGCTGGTGTGCTACCAAGGAGTTGGAGCAGCTTTTCTCAGCTGCTAAAATTTGACCCCAAGCACAACCAATGGGTGTTTATCAAAAGCATTGAAGTTGAACCAATTTCCAGTTATGCCCTGGACCTTGGAGAGAGATGGGCAAAACTAGAAAGTTACACATAACTTTGATAAAATAGATGGGCAAAAATATTTATATATATTTTATATATACTTATATATAATGTATTTATATATTTTATATATTTATATATTATATATTATATAAATTATAATTATATAATAATAAAGTATATAATATATTGATAAAATAAACAATTGTTTTCAATTTTATTATACTAATTTATTTAATTATTGTATATATAAGCAAATGTATACATCAAAATTCATATAAAATTAAAATTTTAATTTTTTTCAATTTTTTTGAATAAATAGCTTTGGCTTGACCCACGGCCCCGTTTGGCCCACTGGCCAGCCCAACCCATAGCACAACACGGCATGGGCCCACAAGGGCTTGGGCCGTGAGTCGTACATGGCTGACCCCCAAGTTATCCCAAGGGAGGGCGGCATAGCCCGAGACAGCTCGTGGGCCGGCACAGCCCAACCCACACTTTGCGTGGGCGGCCCACGGGGCACGTTGTGCCAACCCGGCACAGCCTATTTTACACCTCTAATCCATGCCCCGCTAGAATTGGAGGAGCCATCAGGGATGATGAAGGTAATATATGTGCTTTCTTCTTGGGCCCAGCTAGGCAAAATGATGTTGCATCAACAGAATTCTTAGCATTTGTCTGTGGCCTTGAGAAAGCAAAGGAATTGGGTCTAGAGAGGCTAATTATTGAAGGTGATTCCAATATAGTTGTTGATTGGTTAAAGAAAGGGGAAGGAGTTTCATGGCACTTAAGGAATGATCTTAGGAGGTTCAAAAGGCTCTCCAAGGATACATTGATTCAAACTAATTGGCAAATGGTTTAGCCAAACAAGGGGTACATAAAAACTATATGTTTCGGGCTCAGTTGTAACTTTTGGAGTTCAACAGTTGGTGTCTATTTGTAACCTTCACAACTACTTGTTGTGCCTCTTTAATCAATTTAATGGAATCTTTTTTTTTAGTATTGATCAAAAACACTTCCTGGAATCAAAATTTCCAAATATTTATCTTTATTTTCCCAATATTTAAAAAGAATTGAATATATTAGAATTTTTTTCAGTTTATTATCAAATTTCTCTAAATAATGACAAAACATTGGGAAATCTTTACCGGTGTTGCCCAAATTAATTGAAAATAATCATGAGATGCATGTATTGCCCAAATTACTACTCTTGACAAATTTAAGAAAAAGGTATTTAGAGTTGCTTGTTATAGACGTTTGAATCAACAAAACTAACCAGTTTTTCAAAATATATAGATCTTTTAAATTTGTAGACAAATAATTAATTTAGGAGTACATAACTATGTAATAATCATAAAACAATATACCAATCATATTAACACCATAACAATCAATTCATGTAATATTATGTCCACATAATTTAAGAATAAGATAGTTCTAAAGAATCTTAAAGGAAAAGATTTAGGATAAGAATTATATTTAGTTTTTAAAGATAATTACCTTAAAATACTAAATCTAATGCCCCCCTCAATGCTCATTTTAAGATTTTTAATCTTCTATTTCCTGTGCATAGTAAGTTCTTATCTTTTTTAAGTTTTGAGTGATTATATTTTTTTTACAAGGTGCAAAATAGCAATGCATCACCCATCGGTTTTTGAACCCATCAAAACGCCAAATATTGAGGTTTAAGGGAAAAGGCCATATTCAATCACTAATACCGTTCCTAGAGATGGATTCAAATCTTTTAAGTCTGATACAATCTCGAACCATGTTTATTGTCCCTTAGAATCACGTAATACACAAATTTTGTGTAACACGCATGCCAATACTTTGAACCTTGACATTTTCACAATACATTAAGTTTATTGAATAAATCCATGTTTTCTAATATTTCTAATGTTTTCATAATTTCCTAAGATTTTCCAGATTTCTAAGCAAAATTTAGAAATCTTCCTCAGTTGCACATGGTGAATTGCTTGACCAAAACTTTTCCTTTAGTGGTAAGTAAACAAAAACTTCAGACCACGGTTAAACCTAAAACATTTTCTTCAACCCACAAAAGAAATTAAAGATTTATAAATCAGAAATAGATATGGTTACCTTTTCAATGCCACCTGGATCTTTACAACAATATCCATCAAGAGAAAGAGGCTCATTACTGGAACCATTTTTCGGATCTTCAGTGAGAACAAGTGTGTGTTGATTAACTATCATTGCTCCATTCTCGTTTTTGTGCATAGATGTTTCCTTAGATGGGCACACAACTTTGCTACCCTTCAAAATCTTTATGTTGCTTTTTGTTCTCCTTCTTGGTGGCACCGATTTAACATGAACATTATCACGAACATCGGGACTGGCAACCACAACAGCATTTGATCCATCAGGACCTGCTACACCGACCTTTAATGAAATAGCGGAATTCCTCCCACTTTTCAATTTTTTCTGAGAATCACTCATATAAGCATGATTCCCAAGCCACTTAGTTATCCTGCATCTCAAGTCAGGGAGAAATGACGAGCGATCACCCTACAGGAAATTCAATCACACAATAAGAAACAAGGAAAGCAGCTGAGAATCTTTCTGTAACTACTACTTATGGATAACAATTGCAAACATAAAATTCTTCTATCACTTTTCTGAGTACCGCAAGCACTGCAGCCAATGAATCAGATGAAATGCCAATTTCTAGTGCTACATCACTCAGAAAAGCTTTCCCTCGATCAATTAACTGCACATTCAAATTGAGAGAAGATAGAAAGCAAAGCTAAGATAATTAGTCCCTACAAACTATAGCACAGGAAATAGCGAATGCTGAAGCAAATACACATCCATACCTTCTTCAGAATCTGTACAAAATCTAAGGAATCAGGTAGGTTAATCTCCCCATTGTTATTTCTCTCATGTGGCACAACGCCAATAGATTCTTGTGTATCACCACATTCTGAAATATGTTTGGCATCTTGTTCCAATGGTGTCATAACATTATCCAATTTATCTAAATTAGCATCCTTTCTATTAACATGAACCATGTTGTTGTCTCCATTCCTAGGTCCCAGATTTAACTTATGTGGTTTGTCTTCCAGCAATGTAACAGGCAATTCGTTGGCTGCAGAAGAATCACAACCAACATTCACAGAGAGTAGGCTACTTGAATGCTGGTTTGCACTAACTTCCTGAAACTCTGAGTGCTTTGAACAAAAGGCCCGCAGTTCAACCTGAAGCAATGTTAGCCAATCAGATCACATAGCTTATTATAAATATTTATAATATACAAGGAGAAAGCCCCAACCAAAAAACAATGTACTTAATTCTGTTTGTACAGTTTTATTTTTCGGTGATTTTAGGTGGTTTTTCTGTATTCTTAGGAATATGTGAGTGGGGTATTCTCCTGCATGAGTCAGTCCAAGTGATTATTTATCACATGACATTGTAGTTCTTTCCTAGTTTCCTTTCAGTTCTGTTTGTTTACAATGCAAATCTGAACCATAGTTTTCAAGGCATCAAGGCACCAAGGCAAGGCAAGGCAACAGGGGGGCACCTTGCCACCTAGTCGCCAAGGCAGGTGCCTAGGCAATGGATTTTTTTATGTAAAAAACATATATTCTAGGGTAGTTCCCTAGGTACCATAACCATATTTCCTTAATAATTATTCATAATTTTCATAAGAAAAGTATAAAGTTCATATTAAAGAATAAAAATCAACATATTCATGAGAAGAAAAAGAAGAAGGAAAATAAAATTCAAAAAATATAGGGGCTGAACCCTTACTTTTGTTATGAGGAAAGAAGAAAAGAAAAAGTGTTGACCAGACAAAATTTTAAGTTCTTCCTTACTTATTGGTTTAGGTTTTGAAGTCTCTGAGGGTTCAATACAGCATTTAGCAATATTTGTGTTGATTAAACCCTAACAAATAAGAAAATAATAAAAATAAATTAGTATATAAACACAAAATGATTATTTTAGTTTAATAATGTCTATTTTATAATTATAATCTCAAAAAAAATAAAGAACAAAAAGTATTTTATAACAATTTGCACCATCTTCCTCCTGCCTCAATTCTCACTCATACAAAGTAGGGAGCAGATCGCATAGCTACCTACCACTCTCAAACAAATAATCTCCTCTTCCCTCCATTCTGTGGAACATAAGGTGGGAACTGGGAACCACATAATTTTACTTCTCATAAACAAATAAGACAGTCAACTCTGAAGCAAAAGTAAACCAGAATTCACACAGCCTATTTGCACTCTCATCCATCTACAGTAATGCAAATGAAATTTGCACTGCAACCAGTCTTCATGAAATTTTTATTCACCACCAAAAAAAGAGGAAAAAGAAGCAAAATCAAGCTTACATTTTCAAAACCAGTCTTTCCCCAGATTTCCATCCTATGTTTTGCCTCCCTTGCACATATAGGATGAAAAGAAGTTCTGCAAGTTCCTGAAAAATTATTCAAACAAAAAACCATCATGAGTAGGAGCATCATCACCCTAGAACATCATTTCAAGTTATTCTGCATCACCAGCATATACACTAAAGTGGATTGTACAATATCAAATACAATGTTTCCATCAAATATACTTTCAGTAATACAAATATATTTTACCTTTCCTCAAAATAACACAATTGTTACAATTAAAAATATATCGTATAAATTTGAATTTTGAGGGCAGAAGATGTGTGAATCAGGTGTTGATTATTTTTGATAAACGTGAAACAGGTGTTGATTGGTCATATAATTTGAGCATATCTCCATCCTCAACGAATTTATTGGTCTTCCGTCTTCATTTTCCAACTTTTGTAATGGATGGGTTCTACTGTATTTGGCTATTAAAGGGCTGGGTGGTTGTTCTTTATTTAGTTAGCAATTCAAATAGCGTGTATCTGGGTTTGGCCTTTGTTTGGCTTAATGAAGTCTCTTTAATTCATACGAAAAAAAATAAAACATTCATGAGGAAACAAATGTGAGCAACTGAGCATATGAAACCTGCAAAAGTGAGCATATGATACTGAGAAAACACCATAAATTGATGCCAAGGAGCAGTTTGAATGAAAGACTCATTAAAATAACAGACATAGCAAGCATTGAAGCTGGAATTAGCGGTAAAAGTTGGCAAAGTGGAGAGACTCAATAAACACATGTTTTCCAGCAAAGATAGCACCAAATTATCATGTCCAATGCCACCTTTTTGGAGCAGATGCTGATGACCTGTATGATCAGTTGGAGACCCTTTAACATGAGCATCACTTATAACCCATTTCATGACAAAATGCAAGACTCTATCTACCATTGCAGAAAATTTTAACATGAAAGAATAAGTCTCCAAATACTGTCTGGTTATGTGATCTATGGATTGCAAGCATGCTACTGTGAACAAGCAGGGCTACGTTTTACATACAGACATTAATACTTCCTTGTTAGAGTACTGTTGGTGGTCTATTATCTAGCCAAAGCATCAGCCATGCTGCTAGCAAATCTAAGATTCCAATGGAAAGTGGCATTCAGCTCAGCCAACAACAATCTGCCTTCCTTTAACATGTATGTATATTTCCAAATTCCAGCAGCATTGTTTCTAAGCCATTCCACCACTAAGTCCCCCTCCCCACCATTATTTCCAAGTTCCAAACTTAGCATTCCAAGTTTCGATAATTCAACTCCAATTGGACCATTTGGGAAGGAATGGTAGAATTTTCAATGACAAAAGCAGGAGTAAATTATTGACTTAATTAAAATAAAGGTTGCGCACTGTGTGAAAACTCTGGAAGTTTTTTTATCAGCAACACAATAAATGATTCATTAGATTAAAAAAGCTTATACAACAAAGAAGCTGTAATTTTGGAGGCTTTCCAAAATCTCTCTGAATGAAATATCATGAGAAATTGGAAAGAAGTGGCACTCCAACTTCCTAAAGCTTAATTTTTATGGAAGGTTCATTGACAACATGGGATTGACTGGGGTAGGGGGAGTCTTCAGGAACTCTGAAGGAAAAGTGGTTGCTTTGTATTCAGGACAACTGGAGCATGGTGATGCACTAACAGCAGAAATGGTTAGTTTATTGCAGGGATTAAAACTTGCTGAACAATTTCATTTCCACAATTTATAAGTGGAAGGTGACTCTCAGGTAGTCATTTCTTGGACAAGATGCAATACCCAATCTCCTAGGATTTCAGGGAAAAACTTGGGGAGACTGAGAACTTAATAAGAGAACTAAATGTTTACTTTAAAGGGGTTAGAAGAACAACAAATGGAATGGCAGATACTGTAGCCAAACAAGGGGCTTTGAGACAACATTTGTTTTGGGCAAATTTGTGAAGTCTTGTACTGTTGGGGTGGATCCTACACCCATCTTCTTGTAAACTTCAAGTTGCATTAATAAAATTACATTCTACTGGTCAAATAATAGTTCAGCTCTAATTGAATATTCCACTAGTGCGTAAAATACCTGGGTTTAGCTCCAATTGAATATTTATTAAAAAAAATACCTGGGTTGCATACTGCACCCATCAAAGTTTAGCTTTAGTTTGATATTGGCAATTTTTAGAAGTGCATAGCGCAAAAAAAAACACAGGTAGTTCTTTGCGCCTGAGGCACAAGGTGCAAGCTGTGCAAGGCAAGGTGCATGCCTTTCTGAAGTGAGGCACAGAATTTTTTAAATTGGAAAACAAATACATAAAATGCACTCAAATTAATATACATAAACATAACACATACAGCATATGCAAAGTGAAAATGTAAAAATAAAATTAAACATAACATATAAAACATATTCAAGCACGTGAAAACTTTGAATCTCGTTATTCCTTTCCCAGTCACATTAATTCTTATGAGCCACTTTGTACTGCGCCTCCTTGAGGCAAGTGCAAATAAATCCATGTTAAGGTCTTAAAATCTTAATGTGTACATAAAAAAATGGTTGTCTTGCATTAGGAAGAATGAATGAACAATATTGGTAAAAAAGGAGTTTCAGGACATTTTTTACAAGATAAGGAATTAGGACTAGTTTATAAAATCAATTCTTTAAGTACATACTAAAAATTTAAGACCTTAGCATGGACTTATTTGTGCTTGCCTCAAGGGGCTTGGTTAGGGGGGGTCCATGGAGGGGGTGCACCATGTTTAAAATAGTACAAAGCGCAAAATTTAATACAGACACTAAGCTGAGGTGCAGGCGCACCAGGCACATGCCTTTTTAATGGGGCTGTGCCTGGGCCTAGGCGAGGTGCAGGCCTTCTTGCCTATGCACCTAAGCACACCTTTTCAATAACTAGATACTGGAGGAGACCATGTTACAGCTGTAGCACTTCCTTTTATAAGTAACAGAAATTTATTAATTGAACATGACAATGAAGTATTTCACGAGATTGTGTTGTACATATCATGAGAGTGAAGCCCCTACTATCTCTTCACCACAAAGGAATTTTCTTTATTTATGAGCCCAAAAAATCTGTTGCCTGCTACTCCCTTGTTTAGCCAGAGCATCAGCCAAACTATTGCCTGATCTTTGTACCACTGAATTGTAAGCTGCATGTTCCTTGACCACCATTTAAATTGCCTTATCCCATTCTTATAGGTCCATAGATAGAACAATGTTGCCCCTCATCAACCAGCTGTAGCACTTCCAAGTGATGGAAGATTATGCCAGTCATTGACAGCCCCTAATGACATTTTTTTATAAGGTATAAGCAACAAATATTTCATTAAAAGCACCCAACTGCTAACAAAAGTAAGCAGCTGGCCATGAAGTACAACTACCAAACTGGAGTCTCAATACAGTAAAAATTAAATACAAATAAAAAACAATAAGCAGCCTGTTACAGATTACACCCCGCACCCAGGACAACCCCAAACTAGCTGCTACTCAACACCCCTGCTCCTGCCAAAGAATCCGTCAACACGTTTGCACTTCTAGGGAAGGAAATGTTCAAAGAGGCACCTAGATAGTGCGCCTATCTCATCAGGGTCCTAAACTAGGGATTATTTCATGAGCTTTCATACAATATATTATAGTTTGGCAGTCTCCCTTCACTTCCACATCTTTCATTTCATCAATTTCACACCTTGAACTAAAGCCAACATTTCAGCCTGCAAAGGATTACCATGTCTAATTGGACCTGAAAAGTTGAGGATAATGTTGCCACAATGGTCACTAACCTCCCCCACACCTAAAATCCAGGGCTTACCAAACAGCACCCATCAAAGTTAAATATGAGTTTCTCCACAGCTGGGGCAATTCAATCCGCTACTCTTAGTTGCCTCCTGAACTGGAAATCTGCCACAGCTCGCCAGCCCCTTAAAATATCATTTAGGATAATTCCTTTGAACTTATCACATATTAAAACCCAGTGAGCAACTCTTATCATGGTGAGTTCTTACTTCCTCTGTTTGATTATACTGCTCTCCAAAAATACAGGCATTCCTTTGACTCCACAGCCCCCATAACACTGTTTGTCTTGTACATTGCCAGAATATCTTTTCCCCATGGGTGGAACAGCTCATCAGAGATGATCTAAAAAGGTGTGGAAATTCAGACAGTGCCTCCAAATCTCTTCCAAACAAATAAAACAGGTATTGCCACACCTTAGAAGAGAACAAACAATATAAGAGAATGTAGTTAATGCTTCAAAACTCTTTAAACAAAGAAGAAACACATGAATTGAGAGACCAGTTTTTCTATTTTCTTTGAAGTATACCATAGGTGTTTATAACTTGGTTAACAGCCTCCAAGCTTCTAGGTTAAAGTCAAATTTTGGTTTCGGCCTCAAGAAAGAAGCATATGATAACAGAATACTGACATGGAAAAAAAAAACATATGAGAACAGAAAAGATAAGCAGAAGAAATGGTATAAGTGTTCAAAACATGGAAATTTAGGTCCCATTGCATATGTGTCAGCATTAGTAAGAGAACCCAAATTAGGGAGTGACACTGATAACTACAGAATGCTCCCCCAAAGACCATGTCAGTGGTTTAATGGAGTCTTCTCACAGGCTATCTGAATTTCAAGGTGCAAAGATTCATATCCAAATTCAAGAGAACCCACAGTTATGTTACACCAAAATAACAGTAGTTGTGCTTTAGAAGTCTAGATCCCAACCAATTGCTTCTTATGCTTTTGGGAAATAGTAGACAATAAATTCCTTTCATTTTTTTCTAATAGTTAAATTCCTTTCATTTTGAAGCAAGTATTAAATTGCAACCATCAACAAACCAATTCACAATGTTTTATAACTTTGCCTTGGCAGCATACCCTTTATTTTTTGCAACTCTCCGCCTTGAAAGTCTAGATGATTTTGTTTACCATGGTTGAGACTTAAAAAGAATGACCTAGAGAGTGATTAGGTTGGCAATAGGCTTATAATTCCATCTAGGGATCTTGCCTCATGAGAGATCTGGGATTAAGAGGTAATATACCAAACTAGTGTTGCCTTAAAGATAATATGGTCCCACCATTATCAACTGTTCAAAAGAAATGAGGAAAGGATAGAATCAAACATCTTGTCATAGCTTAGTTTAACCATCTATGTAGTTTGGACCAGATAATATTCAATACATGAAGTTCAGTGTCACAATACAGGTGCACATTTAATGACTACAATGTACAAATTGTTGTTTTGAAGCACCAGTTAAAGAAAAAAAAATTGCAAACATGGTAGAAAAGAAGGGAGCAACTCAAAGCAATAATACATACCATGGCTACAGCGAATGCAAACGCCATACTTCACCTTGCATAAATTGCAAACTAATTTTCTCCGTGTATCCTTTATACTTTCCACATTCATAATTGGCTCCATAATTTTTGTGTCTTTTACATATACCTCAGGCATCCATTGACAACAAAACAAGTGTGCAAACTTCACAGCACCACCACTTTTGCTTTCAACACCGTCCTTGCCCAATGGTTTTAAAGCACCACCCTGTTTTGGGCAAAGCACACAGGGCCTAGAAAATAATCCGTTGCCATTACCAACAGTTCCTTTTCCTAGCAACCCAGTTTTCACATCAGCCTGCTGCTTACACCAAGAACACAACCATGACACGTCCGGAACATTTTGCACGCCATAGCATTTCTGATGAACTGAAGCATTACAAGAACCACAGACCAGCAACTGATTTGACTGTTCCCCAGTTTCGCCCAGGCAACATACGTGGCAGACGAATGAACCCTGTCCTTCCGATGGTCGTGCAACGACCAGTCTCTCTAAGCCTGCATCTCCGCCTAGGAGCTTCCTCTTCTTGGAGGGCCGCTCCGAGGTAAGTAAAATCTTATTCCTGGATCCCAAAAGCCACTCTAAACTAGGCCACAATGGAAAAGAGGACGGCATCACTGAAGAGGTCATTTCTTCTTGTGGCAAAATATCAGCTCCCCCACTGTCAATTTCCATGTATTGCTCTTCCTCCTTTATCTCCTTATCACCCACCTCCTCAGAAACAGGTTCCTCCATCTCCGTATCTTCTGGAACAACCGCCTCTTCAGCAACTGTCCTCGCGTTCTCCAGCTCATTAGCACCAATTGCCGGCTTCACCTCAACTTCAACTGCATTGGCATCAGTTCCAGCGGTGGAAGAAGAATCTACATTTCCTTCCACAGCTTCCCGCACTTTAGGAATAGAAAAACGCGACAAGTCAGCTGCTGAGTAACCAAGAGGAGTCCCCAAAGCAAACAAATTGTCGATATCATTCAACATAACAGGCCTGAAGTAGTCCTCCATCTCTACCCAAATGTTCGAAACCTGTGGCTGTGACACTGCCCCGTGCCCCGAAGCCTTCTTAGCTACGGCCTCCGAATGAGATTTCTTATGCTTCTTCCTACCATCAGAATACTTCGACAGGAAATCAGCCAACCCAACGGGAAGCGTAGAAACCCTAGACGGTGGAACATCGTCAGACTCATAGGGGCAACGCTCGGAGAGCGCCTTCCGAGCCTGCGCGTAGAAATCAATCTCGGCCGGTTGCTGCTGTTGTCGTTTGGCGGGAAATTTGTTGTTGGAAACCCTAGAAACGGGGCAAGGCTTCTGTTCAGTCCCACAACCTCCCTCCGCACCCCTACCCATCATCTTCCGCCGAGAGCATCGGCTTCCAGTCATGGCCGCGACGAGCCAAAACAGTCCATTCCCCCAAACCCTAACCCTAGTAACCTAACCCTAACCCTAGCCCTGGTTACGGCCCTCTCATGCAAAGAAAGACGGAGAGACAGAGCGAGATAGCGAGGGAAAGCGAAGTCGGTGGCGGGAAAATTCGCGAACTAGGGTTAGGGTTTTCTGTTAAATTCTTTTTTTGGTTCCGTTCGGATCCGTCGAAGCGTCAAATTGTTTTTGTTTGTTATCCTCGCCCGTCTGTGTTCGGTTTGGAGAGAGAAGGTCTCGCGTTTTTTGCAGGCAGAAAGGGAGGTTCGTTTTCACGAGATAATTAAAAAATTATTTTCATTACAATTTTTTAATAGCAATATCGTGTACAGATGGACATTGACCTTTTTAACTGTTACACGTGTCTTTTCTACAAATCAATACCTATGACGTGGCGAAACAGCACCCAAACATAACCCGGACACTTCATGGATAAACACGATTAGCCACGTCATTATAACCCACGAGGCCAGAAGGAATTGATCATTGTAGGAAACGCTCCCTTCTCTGTCTCTCTCATCTCATGGTTGAAGCCTGCAGAGTGCAGAGTGAAAACATATTAGGACTTAAGAGAGGAACAAGAGAGAGAAAAAAAAAAAGCGGGAGAAGCGAATAAGGTTTGTGCACGTACGAGACATCTAGAAACAAAAGAGGTGGAAACCAGAAACGGGTTGCGAGTTTGATTCGGGAATATGGGCGAAAGTGCATTTATAAGGAGATGAGGGCGGATGACGGATCGGACTTTAGAGATCTTTTTAAGCAAGTGAAGCGATGTCGTACATGTTTACTAGTTTAGAAGGACAGTGGGTGGACTGTTAACGGCTCAGATTTATTGACCCAGCAGCAGAGCAGCTATGTCTCGGATGATTTGAGGAAGTTGTCTTTTGTGACTACAGTCGCAGCACCACCTTGGCTCTCCAATAAAAAAATGACACGTAAGTCATCATAACCAAATGAATAAATGCTTGAGGGTAAATTCCTAAAACCTATTTATCAAACCCAAAAGCAAATCTCCAAAAACCATTAGAGCAGGTAAGGCTGCGTTTGGTTGCAGTGCAATTTTATTTACACTAGTATGAATGTATGAAGAGTGCAAATGAAAAAAAAATACAGATTCTTATTTAATTTTGTTTTGGGTTTTAATTTATTCTGCTCTGTATCATAATTTTCTTCATTTGTACTGCATTCAAACAAAATAAGCTCGAATTTGAAACAAAAATAGATCAGAATTTACACTCAAATCATTTGCACTGCCATGGTTTTGCATTGCAACCAAACACAGCCTAAGGGTGAGCAAATGGGTGGATTATTCTCCACACCTAACTAACCAATCATAAATTCATGTTGAAGCAACTTTACCCAATTTGTTACTCAGTAAGGTCTCTTTATAAATTATTGGAATCTACCCCAACTTAAGCCGGTTCTAGGGTTTGAGGGTGTACCCTACTTAAACCATTCTCAAGAAATAGCCTTGGTGGAACTAAACTTGAATAACCTTAGCCTGATCATTCTTAGGCCCTGTTCATTTTTCGGTAAGTTACTTACCCGAGTAAATGCAGTTACTTGGGTAAGTATTTCCCATGTTCTTTTGTTTCTCATGTAAATAAAGCAATTACCATTTTAGTCATAAAAAATTATTATTAAAAATGGCATTATCGTCCAATTCAAGTATTGGCAACTTTCTCTTTCCCTGGTCCCCACATAAATCTGAAAAAAAAAAACATGGGATTCTTGGTCAAAGGAAACCAAAATCCCATTGACCAAATTTCCCCCTTTCAAAATCCGAAAAAATAAATAAATAAAGAACACCCCCTCAGATTGGCCTAGATGGGAATCAAACTTGCTTTGAAATAAACCTCTAAATACTTTGAAGATGTAAAGGTTTAAACTCAAGCACTCATATTCACAAACACCATGGTCTCACTTGATCATTTAGCCTAAGTAAACTAATAAACTTCATTCATTTTAATATTTGGATGTGTATAATAAGTAATGTAAAAGTCAATATTTACAATTTCTTTAAAAAAAGGCAACGTTTGCACATTTTAAATTATAATGATAAGTTTTAAAACCTATTATTATTAGTAGTAGTAGTAAAGTCAATATTTACTACTACTACTACTACTACAATTGTTATTATTGTTATTGTTATTATTGTTGTTGTTGTTGTTGTTATTTATCAATGATAAAATTTGTGCTTATGTAATTATGTCATGTGTAAAATTATTAGGTTCCGTTTGGTTTGTAATTGGAATTATAACCAAAATCGGAATCAGAATGGGAATTGGAATCAAAAGACCATTCCCTCAAATGGGGAATGCCCTTAATGGGAATGGGATTCCAATACCATCCAACCAAACAATTAGAATCAGAATAGTCCATTCTGATTTCGATTTTGAACCCCTATTCCCGTGAACCAAACGGGCCCTTAATGTTCAAAAAAAAAACATAACATATATAGCTATTTAATTAGATTCTTAATGTTATCTTTGTTCTAAGTTCCTTTTTTTTGGGGGGGGGGAGGGGGGGGGAGGAAGGGAAAAAAGGAAAATATTCCATCGGTAGACCCTATAACCTCCAAGGCCAAAACCAAAAACCAATATTGAAATTGAGGTTCACAAGATAGGTGATGGTTCCAAAAACCTGGAACCAACCAGATCAATCTATGCTCACCCTAAGGGAAGATCACTTTACTATTCAAAACTTGGAAAAGTTGTAGATACCCCAAATTTTGTTAGCCTTCAAGAAGATATATGAAAAATGCTCATGTGTGCATTACATGATATATTAAACGTTTTTGAATGCCTAAATTACCCTTCTTCAATATGTAATGATCATAGTACTTCACTTTTCTTTTTTGATGGTAAGAAGCTTTTAATTGAAAGAAATCATTGTATTGATCATTTTACTTTAACATTGATGCCACTTATGTAGACAACATTTAAGGGGTATTTGCAACTTTTTGAAGTAACACATCCTATATATTCCTTCATGATAAGGGAGGAGGGTGTTGGAGCTTATCCTTTTTCAATGTTATTCACTTTTCATGCATCAAACAAAATTCATAAAATCCCAACAAACAACATTCAAGAAAACATTTCATGTAAACACTTTTTAAACCATAAATTTATTTCTCTCAAGATTTATAGATCTTAGAAACAACCCTCTTAAGGTTAAAATTGGACTTCCAACATATAAGTAATTATAGGGGTAATTTAGATATCTCACCATAAAATCCTGATTGGGCAATTCATGTTTAACTATGATGTATTAATTTAAAAAAGAAATGCATAAATGCTCCATACAAGGATTATATTCATCAACCCTGAGGCAACTATTAGCTCCCAAAAATGTCTATAAACAAGAAAGGAACAACAAAACTCCCGACAAAAAGACTATATGAGTAGTGAGTTAATTCCTAATAAAATCCAAAAATATATTTATATTAGCCTTGACAATGTTTTTGTTTAAGGTAGAAACCTCCACATTTCATTCTAACCATATAACCTACATGATAGCCAAAGGAAATCACAAACCATATTATTGTACCCTTGTTGGGGAAAATTCCACTTTAGTACCTTGAACTTTGGGGGTAGTGTCAAGTTAATACCCAAACTTGTACTCCTTGTCATTAACCAACTATCAGTTATCTGACCACATGATGACGTGGAACTTAAAATTTTTGAAAATGTCAAAACTACCCTTCAAAAGAAGACATTGTGCATTGTCTTCTACCTTGAGATTGAACGGGTTTGAGGTGTAAAATCATTGAAGTTTTCTGGTTTTTTAATTAATATATAATAATCTCAAACTGTTATTCATTATGTTCTCTCATTCGCCAACAAGGATGGCGGATGTCGAAATTACGGATGAGATAGATATATTGGATTGATGCCTTCTACCTTGGAGTCCATCAATCCATATAAGATCCATCTCTGTTATTCATTCTATTATCAGAAGTCTTGTTTGAAATAATTGAATTACATAGTAGCTCGAGAATTCCATTAAGAAAAGTCATGTTTTTGTGATGTGCAATGAACTAATTGACATGCAAGAAGGAAACTTGAATATACCGCTGAAGGGGATTCAATTCCCGGGTTATGTGCAAGCAATTTACTTGTTTACTAGCAATGAAGTATTGGAACCCATTAAAAGGAGAATAAAAGACAAACTTTCAAAAGGCAATAAATTGTAAAATTTAGATAAGACCATATCCAAAAAGCTTCAATGAAAATTCAAGTGCCCTTGAACACAAATGGAAACAATTGTAGATCAAACAAAGAGAGGTAGGACAAAGGGAAAAGCAACAAACAAAGAAGGGAGTGGTTTAGTATTTTAGTAACCATGAGCTCTGAGTAGAGAGTTACAAAGATGGGAATATTAGTAACCTGGGAATTCGCGGAATAGATTATAAATCTTGTGAGGTTTTACATCTCCAGGAAGCCCTACAATGAAAAGGGCTCTAACCTCTTCTTGTCATGTTGGAAAATTGCCAATGCTTATGGTTCGAGACTCCGATGTCTAGTCCATGTCTGCAATAACTAAGGTACCAAAATTCCGTTCTCTTTAAATTTTCAATGTCATAGTTTGTAGGATGTTGGTACAAATGAGGCAACTCCCTAGGGTTTCATACAATTGAAATTGGACGTTGAGCCTAATCTCGAATAGTTGGATTGATCCTGGAGGCTGGAGCAATGTCAGAGCTGGTTGATTATTGGCTTGCCACTTCTTTTGTGGTAGTTGAGCCCAATCACAGTCTCTGCCTCCACTCTAAATCCTCCCCCTCCCAAAAAAAAAAAGCAAAAAACCCTAAGTTTCAATTAATAAAAAACTCTAAGTTTCAATAACCCAAAGAACTCTCTATCGATAATCTCCTTTGTTCTGTCATGGTAAGTCTTGTCTAATCGCTTACATCATTCAATCTGGTTCTTTCTCCGAAATCAACCTCTCAATTTTCACCTATCTCAGTCGTTGCTCATTGTTATATTCAATTAGTCTCTCAAGTAATTCTTGCAAACTATGATCGAATGAGCCTTAATTGAATAAAATCAATTTCCTTATTTGTTTTTTCAAAGATTAATGCAGTACAAAGGACCAAAAAAACCTTTGTAAATCTTAAAAAAAATCCACGCACTTAAGGGAATAAGGGTTTAAGGGGTCAGATTCTAGGGTTTTAGATTGTTGAACCTCCATGGACGACCTTGAAAAGGCTATATTGATAAACTTTGATGAGTACATACAATAGACTCAATTCTAAAATCCCACATTTCGGCTTACTATAGCC